TGTATTACAGTCACACGCTGCCAGCCCAATGCCAGCACTCAGCAGTGTACGGCACAAGCAGAGGTTACCGCACAGGGTGACCTCCACTAAAATGATGACAATTGCATTCTCTGTCTGCCAGCTACAACAGATCACCTGCTGACTGAAAGGAGTTCCCATTCCAACAACAGAAATGGCAGTAATAAAAAAGGAAAAAAAGCACCTAATGAGTCTTGCCAGTTAATTCAGATTAGAGGGACCAGAAGGAGACAGTATGACTTCTCACATTCATGGACAGCTCACAGGACCAAGGACTCAGAAGAGCTTTAATCCCTCCCCTCCTACTGCCTTTCAGGTAACATTCAGAGCTCCAATAACCTAGGTGATTAACTGTGCTGACTGAAACTTAAGGACCCAGTCCTTCCAATATGAAAATGTATTCAATAGTACACTATAAACATTACATAAAAATATGTAACTCAACAGTTCAGCAAGTATGTAAAAGAGTGTACTCCTTCCACATGCCATTTCCCATAATTTATCATCAACTTGCTACTGAAATATTGCATTAATTCATAATAAACTTCCTTTATGCAATGGTGGCGCAGTTGCATGACTAACTTCACATTGAGAAAATGGAAATATGAAAGGATGCTTTTCAAAAAGTATAATGTTTTAAATTTAGATCTTAAGAGGCAGCACTGAAGTGAAAAAAAATGGCATGGAAGCTATTTTAGTCAAGAAAAGCTCACTGAAACCTACGTTTTATTTTTTTCCTGACAGAGATAGGGATTTTTTTAAGACAGCAGAAAATTAAACTTGTTTCATTAACCTAAATATAGCTGTAAAATATTTTCAGTGGAAATAGAGGCTCTTCTTGCTAAGCGTTGCGATGTCCTGACTGATTTAGTGAGTCCTGCTACTCAGCCAGAAAAACGATTTCTTAGGACGACTCAATAGGTTTCCTCGTGTACAGCCTGGCTACTGGCTAAGACCCTTAGATGGAGTCTTTGGCACACGTCCAATCCCATTGATTTCATCTATCGTCAACTCTGCAAAGTAGACTCAGAACCCATACTACCAATCATTGACACATATAAACACTGATCATGCTAATTCACCAGAGTGCAACCACAAGGCTAAATATCAATGGAATTTTCCTTCTTGATCTCAATTCTACTGATTAAAATGTAGCTCCACTGCCAATTCAAGTGAATCATTTACATATGCCACATGTAAGAAAGCTAGATAAAGACATACTTTATTATCACCTGAATTACCTAACTTAAAAAAATATATCCAGAGCTGTCAAGTTGCTAGCTTGTTTTTCAATCAGGACTTGCAGCTTGTTTATTGTTCTGTATTTTCTGTTTTCCAAAGCATAAATTCACTAGCATCCTCTTGAATACTTGGTGCCATTCTGTATGACATTTTCTGCTCTTGCAGAAAAGCCTGTAATGTCATAAATCCAAAGTTCTCTTTAAAACTGCAGCGCAGCCATGAATAAAAAAATCTGCAAAACTGACACTTTTACTGTGTTATGTCTGTATTGATGCACCACTGGAAAAGCAGCCATCTTTTTATTGTCACTATAACTATTTTAGAAACCCAAACAAATATTTTATATTCCTCTTACAAAATCCCTACAAAACTGTACATTTTGTTGAAAAGCTTCTATCCGGTAAAATCTGAATCCTCGTTTCAGGGCACAGCTTCGACTAATTTTCTTTTTATATATATACATATATATATATTTCAGTGAGTATACCTATCATAAGCTTAAAAAACAATTTTGCAACTGCTGAACACTCTGTAGATGAAATAAACCATGATTGTGCCTATCTATTTGGCTTGTGCTAATACAATAGATGCTCTCATGATTTCAAGCTTTGTACTTGTTTATCATTAGTGTTTCCACTGTAACCATGGCATCAGTATATAGCACAGGCCTAACAATAAGAAAAATATCCAGCATTTTCCTAAAAAACTCATCTCAGAAAAAATACAAGGATTTGCACAATGGGAAAAGTCAATCAAAGCAGGTGAGTTGGATAAAGAGAAAAACAGTTTCTTTTCAGGGAAAAAAAAATTATTGTTTTGTGAATATTTTTTCATTCTGGACTTCTTACAAGAACCTAGAAACATAAGCTTAACCCTAGAGCAGATACTATAAAACAAGCACTGAAATTTCCTTAAAAAAATTCATGCGGTATTATACAAGATCTAAAGCATTAAAGCTATTAATATATTGACAGTATATTAATATATTGAGCTGTTCTCAGCATATGAGCATTTTCTCAATCCTATTTTAACAGTGACAGTCCAATCCTGCAAAAACTATTGCATCATTCTGAAAGTAAGAAGGGGCAGCAGTGCAATTATACCAAACACACTCAGAGAGTACGTGTACCCAGTTCAAACTTTCAGGACTGCTTAAAGGGAACTCTTAGAATGGCATAAAAAGACTTGATGGTCTTAAAGTGTGTTTCTCAGGTTGCATTTATTTGATATTTTGGGCAGTAAGGAGGAATGGGTTCCCGTGATTGCTGCTTTTAATATGCTTGTTACAAAGTTCAGAAAGAATACTACAAAAATATCTGTCTTAAATGCCAAGAGTGAAATGAAGGAAGTAGTCCTCTTATTAAACAGAAAAAACTAATTGTATTGTACCAGCAGATCTTAGTCTAACATTGGTTTAGGCCACGTGCATTTTCCTTGTACTGTGAAACCCATTCACTTTGCAGACGATTCCTTTTTCAGGTTTTAATATAGACTCCAGACACTGATGAAGATATCAATAAATCTATTTACTTCAGTATGGACTCTATATAGAGATGTCATGGCCACAGGCCTTATTTTAACTCAATGAAATCAGACTAAAAACCAGTGCGATTTTGTAAGAGTCAGTTCTCTGGAGGTCCTTATCTATTAACAATTCAATAAACACACTCGGTATTACAATTACGGTGACACACACAGTAAACAAGAAGACTTTGGAATGGATAAAACACAATCCTATAAATACTTACCATCCCACCTATTCTAACTGCGATACAAGGAGGGTGGCATATGCTGCCTATGTACCACATACACACAATCCTAACTAGGAGGATTTACAGTACAAAACAAGGTAAGTGATGCCTCAGAAGCTGCATTATATTGAGCTGACTAGTTACGATCCACTGCCATGTCCTCAATTCTGTCACATCAACAGACAGCAAGCGTAGTCACTCCCTCATCTCCTCCCACCTACTGAATGCTGGACAGCAATGAATCCGGGTGCAATAAAACACAGCGTTTATCCAATTCAGCTAAGTAGTTCCTCATAGGTCACAATGGGCCTCAACCTGTTAAATTCCAGTATTTATCTAGGCAACGTGTTCAGACGTTTGAATTCACCTTAAATACCAGACCCAGGACGCACCCCAGCACACCAGTCCTACCAAAATTCAAACTTGGCATCTGGAACCTGCAAGGTCCTTCCAGATTTGGAGACAAACTCACAACATGTACCACGCACAGAAAGAAATACAAAATTATTCTTCTGTCACATAAAAATCTGTGATGATGTCCTCATCCCACTGGTCTCAAAGATGAAACCTCACTTCATTTCAGGAGAGCCCAAACTTGATTATCATTCAGTCCAGGTAAAAGATATCTGCAATACTGCTGCATTTGTCTTTTCCTGATATGTCTATTTTTCCTCTGTCTATCACCCACTTTTACCATCTGAGCTTACTAATGCGCAGCTTTTACAGCATCAGAATAATCTAGATCCTAATTATCAGAATGCAACACATAGGTAGCAAAAGTGAAAAATATGTTTTGTGCAAATACAAAAGTTTTAACAGCAAAGTTAATCAGTTCTTAATCAGCAAAATCAGAGTCTATCTCTTTCATGCCTTTCCATCATCCTGCCATCTCTTTATACCACTGCATTAAGTAAAGAAGCCCCAAGGAATACATGAAACTCAGAGCTATTAACTCTCAGTATTTTTACTTTGGTCCTGGGTTCTTCGTCTGTTTGACGAAAAAACACTTCCCTGACTAGTATCACTGACCGTGAAAAACAAATACATAAAAAGATGAGCATATATAATTTCAGAAGGCTGGTCAAAGCAGGGCACACTAAAAATGAGATGAGCAGCTACTATTGTTTTATTATACACTTCATTTAAAGGATATACCATTTAACCGTTCAACTGCAGAAATGCAAAATGTGCATATTCACGTTTCCTGTTTCTTTATTGTTTGGTTGGGTTTTCCCTGTTAAATCACACTACCTGAGTATGTCAGACCAAGGATTTTCTAGCTTTTTTGTACTCTCACTGAGGCACACTAGCCTCTGGATCTTTAAGAGCCTGTAGAAGCTGTTAAGACACATTGTGTATACAGACAACAGAATTCGTCTAGTTGGGCCTAAATTCCACCAGGACCCTTTTATCAGTCTTGGGCATCTGAAGAAGCATTGCGTTAGATCCATGCATAAAGGTGTCGATCATCTGGGGGAAGGAAGGAGGAGCATCAGCGTTGATGCAGTGAGCTCTCAAGTGACACGAAGACCCTGAAGTGTCTCATATCAGAGGTCAGGTCTGGATTTTTAAGGCTCATCACTGCCAGGCTAATCAAGAGCATTTATCTTGAAATGATGAAACTCGTCTAAGTGCTGCATCTGGGTTTTGTGGTTATGTTCTCTATGGATGCATTTGGTTGGGGTTTTTCAGACACAATAAGACAACTAGATTTATATTTATGTAACATAATTTCAGAAACTGAAATGGCAATTACAAATCTCTTACTTAGATTCAGCATATTTTTTTTCTTGCCTCGCCTGTAGACCACATGCATTAGTTATACAGTAACCATGACTATCTCAGTATAACAAAGCATGGAAATAATGAAAAGCCTTCAGAGGCATTACATGCCCTTGGCAACCTAGCTCTGCAAGACAGATGTTGCATCCAGAGCTGTGCCACTGAAAATCATATGTACATGTATGTATCCACAGCGTGAGCACTTACCCAGTCCTCGAAGTGACGGCTCCCGTTCTGCAGCAAGTCCTCAAACTGTATAGTGCAGTTAGCTACAAAATCGTCGTACCCGATGGGGGCATCATGGAAAACAGCCATCTCTATCTTCCTGCCATTACAAACGTCGGTGACAAATTCATCGTTCCAAGCAGGGCTGTTGGTCTTTTGCTTGGTCGAGGTCTGCCCGATCCTGGAGTCGTCCACATTGAGGGCGATGTAAGGGTCCAGCAAAAAGGTCTGTGGCCTGGGACCCACTGCATGCCTCAGAGACCACGCTGTGGGTTTCAGATTCACCGCCTCGCAGATCTTGATTTTCAGCAAGCCATTGAAAACCACCATGGCTGGATGGCTGCACTTTTCCCGGGATCAAACACTCGCTCAACGCACTCGCACCGAGAGGGAGGGAGGGAGGTCTCGCCAATAAATAAGAGGGCAGGTCTGGGAGCGGGGGAGCAGGGTACGGTGCGGGTCTCTTCGCCTGGCTGTTGCTGTTACCTTTGATTATTTAGCCTTTGCTCTTGCGACACCCAGTGAATACATTTATTTTCTTGCCCGTGTTTCTAACGGAAAACAAGGGAGGGGGGCCGCCGGGGAGGGGGAGGCGGCCGCGGCTGCAGGCACCCCCGAATGCAATCAAAACCCAAGCATAATCAATCCGGGGGGTAAGCAAGAGCCTTCTCCCTTCACCCAGACCATAATCCTGGATCAGTCCTTGCAGAGGAAGCAGAGCCGCGATCCCGGGCTCCCGCACACGCCAGTCCTGCCCGTGCGCCGCACAACAATACACACACACGCATACACACACACACAGAGACACACACGCACGCACTCACACACACACTCACACAGATCAGAAACACCGGCCGACCCACCAGCCCTGCCTACAGCACAGCCTCCGCTCAGCAAACATCCACCCAGGGACCTTCCATCCGCGCCGCCGCCCGCAGCCGCCCGTCCTGCGTCGCCGCCGCCTCCTGCTCCGCCGCCGCCAAGGCCGAGGACCCAGCGGAGCGACCCCCGCGCATGGGGGGCGCCGGCAGCGGAGCGGAGCGGCCCGCGCGGGTCTCGGCGGGCTCCGGCTGGGCGGCCGCCGCCCTGGCGATGGGCAGAGCCGCCACCGCCTCCCTCCCGCCTCCCGCCGGCCGCCCCCCGCCCGCCTCCCGCCTGCCGCCTCCCCTCGGCCGCCGCCGGCCGCCTCCCTCCGCGCAGCCCCCGCCTGCTGCCGGTGCCGCTCCGCCGCTCGCTCCAGCGCAGGAAATGCGCAAAAGACGTCAGTGTGTGTGTGTGTGTATGTGGAGCGAGTGTGCGGCGGCGGCAGCCCCGGCCGTGCCGGGTGTGTGTGTTTGAGTGTAGAAAGTTTTGCCTGTTGGGGGAGCAGCGCGGCCGCCGCCAGCCGGGAACGGCGGCGGGGGTCGCGCTCCCCGCGCCGGGCTCGCCGCTCCTCCACACCCGCCGGGCGGCTTTCCGCCGGGGCCACTGCCTGCCCCGGCCCCGCTCCGCCTCGTAACAGGGTAAAGTGGTGAATTGAACCAAGCGGGGAGAAAACACTCTCGGGCGCCTTTATTAACGTGCTTGACCACCGAGGTCCTGGCCGGACCGGGCGCTTCTGGCGGAAGCCCCTCGCCCTTCTCTCCGTGATCCCCGGTACCCCTCTGCCCCAGCCTGACGGGCAACGACCCCCCCACCCCCGGCCTTGCCCCGCCGCCTGACATCGCCGAGCCCCTGCCCGCGTCCCCCCACCCCCGCCTGCCGCGGCGGCGGCGGCAGAGACACCGCTACGTCAGCGGGGGCCGGGCCGGGCCGGAGGAAGAGTTTCCCCGCGGTGTGCGAGCGCCGGGAAGTGCCGTCCGCCGCCAGGGGAAGCGGCCTCCCGGGGCCCGGCCCCGCCCGGCCCGGCCCGGCCCGGCCCGCGGTCGCCCTTCCCCCGGCCGGGAGGCGCTGCCTGGGTTGGGACAGGAACCGCCTGTTGCCCGCCCGTGTCCCCGCGGCGGTGGGTCACTGCCAGCCCCTTTTGTTCGCTGCGGATCACCTGGCCCGTGCGAGCCGCACCTCAACCCCCGGCACCTCCGAACTGCTCCGAGCTGGCGCTGAGCGGGACACCGCGGGCAGGCGGTGGCCACTGCCCTGCAAGCGCACTGAAAGTGGGGAGAAAAGAACCCCTCTGAAAGGGTAAAACACATACTGTGTTCTTGAAGGTTATCTGCACATCATTAAATATTTCAGCAATTTTCATCACTGTGGTACCGAATACAGTATGAAATGACTGGGAAGCTTTATGTAGCCTGACTTTCTCCTCGTCAGAACAAACGTACTCGGGATTGAGATGGTTTCCCGTGTTGAAAATTATGACTGCCTTAATTATTTTTAGCTACTGATTTTTATTTTTTTTTTTTTTTTTTTTTTTTTAAGTGAGAAAGTCACCAGGAAATGGATGGACATTGCCCTTTGATGGGATTTGAATTTGCTGTAAGGGAAATTCAGAAAAAATAAGAGAAAGGGTCAGTCCTGGCACCTGGGAGAGCAGCTGGGGTTCTTTGAAGATTCAGGCAGTATAGAAAGAAGCTTAATTGCCTGGATCCAGTTGAATAAGGAAATAAAGAATGAGCACCCAGTCCTTGATCTGGACCTGATATTCCTGACTGGAGAGGAAAGAACAGATAATTATGGATTTCTGCAGGTAATGGCTCAGGAGGCAGATGTTATATTTGGAGCTAATGAAACAGCTCCAGTATCTGTGCTTCCATAGCAGTTTCCAGATAGGAGATGTGGTACTAATGAAACCTAAGGGTCACGAGAGCATTTGCATTAATAGAAGACAGACTTTCTGGTGCCTGTTGCCACTTAGTCTACTAGTCAAAATAGAAGTACAGTAAAATCTCCATGTTCATTATCATCCTGACAATCTCCAAGTAGAATCGTTTGATACAAAGCTGTGGTATGGAGCCAATTATGGGAAATGTCTTCCTTCGCAATTCAGCCTTTCCTAGGCTCACAGCAGCCGTGACACATCTATCATGTCATTTATGAAAAGGACCATAGTCACAGGCCCCACCAGAAATGCAAGAAGCACCTGCTCCTTTCCTCCTACCTCCATTCACAACCTAATGCATATAATAGTATGTATTAAGCTGTCTTACAATGTGTGTCAGAATATATAAATCTTTCATCTGCATGTGTTTGTGTTGTTTCTCAATAACAGCAACGTAAAAAATATGCTCCATTTCCTTAGATATTTATTGGAAAACATAAAATCTGTGCTGATATACTGCTTAATTTTTTTCTGTTTATTTTTAAAGAGATCTGCAACTGCATGTATTCTGTATGCCTAAGGTAGGTAAACAGAGTCTCCATGGTGAGTTTAATGATCTAGCATCTCTGTGAGATCACACACGCACATTACGAAAGTCTGAATGCAGACAAAACACAGCATACAAAACACTATAAATAAGCCTTATATTTGGCTAATTACATGTAGAATCTACTGCATACATAGCTAGGCCCTGATATCTAATTCAAGCCATCTGTACTTTTCCATGGACTGAATCACGCTAAGGTTTGTTTTCACAAATCATTTCTTCTAAGAGTAAATGTCTGCCAGCATGAATAAGCTCATTTAGGATCAAACAGCTCCAGCCTTACATTGCTTAAGAAAATACAAAAACCTTGTACTGTTTTAATTTATTTTTAGATTTTTTTTTAATTATTCTTTGGGAAAGTATATCTGTGTCAAAACTTATGTCACTAAGCAGTTTTTAACTGAAGGACCCTGGAATAGTATTCTTAAAATCCAGTAACTCAGGTACATAGAGCAACATTTCAATGCTTCCTGCAAGGTTCATCTAAAATATTGGCTCAATTGTCTCAAAAACTAAGTAACAGACAGCAAAAAACATTCCAACTGCAAGTACCATTTTTCACTTGAAAGGTTTTTAAATATTTGTTTTCAATCAAATTTCTGTGCATTTGGAAGGATTTTGTTCTTTAAGAGTTGAAGGACAAATGCTATTCCTTCTCATTTTCACAGAGAGGCCAAGAGAGGAAGATACAGCACATGCAGTATTTCTCTGGCAGAAAGGCAGTAAGAAGCATTCCAGATGCATTTCTGTGCTCTGTTACAATGGCTACAGCAGAGTAGTAAACCATGCCCTGTAGTTTAATTACATTTTAGGTATTTTTCCCAGCTGTGTTTTTTTTTTAAAGGACACAGAGGGCCTGCAGGGTACCTAGACTCAGTACTGGTTAAGGAGATCTATCTGCTCCCGAGAAGTAATTTTTGCTGGTAGAGGCCCCCTTGCTCAGGACTCTGAGACCAAACAACCTTTGCATCGGGGGCTGCTCCCGACTTGTGCTGCTCAACTGCAGGAGCGTCTGCGTGTTGGTGTTTGACTCTCTTTAGTGTTGCTTCAGTCCCACCTCTAACTTGACAGACAACTGTACTGTTACAGTGTCCTGTAAAGCTGTAAGGAAAAGACTCCTGGGAGATCATAAAAGCACGGACTAATTGCATCAGCTTCTATTTCCATTCTTTAGGAAAGAGACTACATCAAACTGCTAACTCATAACAACAATGGCAACACCAGCACGCAGTCACCTGCAGACAGCACCCTCCGAAGGCACACTTTTACTCCCGCAAACCCCTCCCAGACGTGCCTGCCCCATTTCAGGTAGAGTGGCGGTGGCCGCGGCAGGGAGGGACGAGCAAGCCGCGGGCAGCCTGTTACCTCGAGACAGCTCCTGACCTTTCCCTGGCCTGTGCATCCTCAATAGCTCTGTGGAGAAACAGCACTATCTGGTGGAGAGAGGATGTAAAGTCCTGCCAGGAGTCGCAATAGGCTTTATTCCATTACTGCAGCCACAACTGCAACTGGTTTTGAGGTGTGCTTGCTCAAGGCTGATGGATGGGTTGACTGGGTTTTCCGGAGGATTTATTTTTTTTATAGTCCCGTTAGCAGAGGAGTGCATCTGGCTGAGCTTTTGCAAAACTAATGCTTATGTCAATTTCTAATGCTTTCCTGAGAAACTCCTCAAACCCTGGAGAAATGTCAGCAAATTTTCAGGCCTTTCAAGTTCAGTAATATGAAAGAAAGAGAGAGGATTTTTTGTTGTTTTATTTTTAAAAAGAGCATAATCTCTTAAAGTTATAAAAAACAGATACATTAGGAATAAAATCAGGCCTGCATGCAGGAGAGATTTTCAGAAACAACTTCATGTAAAGAATTAAATAAAAGCCAAACCCCACATTATAAACCCTGTGGAAATCGAGGAACTTTGACATGAATATGTTCCAAACATCATATATGTGAAGATGTTCATAAGTATATCCTCTGAATTCCTTTGAACTTTGTGGATATACTTGTGTAGCAATAGTTGAGTGTTAGTAGAATCAGTCCCTTCCTGGCAAGAAATCAAAGATTGCTGTCAAATGCTGACTATCTTTGAAAGTCAAATTATTATTTAGATATCTAATTTTGGAGGCGCGGTTATGAAAAAAGCATCCTCATGAGCATTTTCACTCCTGTCATGCTGCAAATGATCTTTAAGGGTATACCAATAGCTAATTCATCTTTTCTAAAGATAAAGAAAAATCCCAGTCTCACTGGGCTTGGTCCAACCTCCAATTCCATTCCAAGGTTTCCTTTCTGTCCAGCCAATTTCCTACTAATTTATTCTTCACTTGAAAAGCATGTACCTGAGGAAGTTACTTAAGGCACTCCCAATGTTCTCTGTGAAATGTCTCAACACAAGAGATCTTGTCAATGTGTGATTAATTAGCTCTCCAACTCTTTCTAGTGTAATTATACTTTTGGTACTCTTCCCAACCTCTTTTAAAAGAACATACTAAACACTAGCTCAATGTGTTAGTTTTCACTGGGAATAAATCTCTCAGAGTACATCTGCATGGATTTGCAGCTCTAGGGTAGCTGGTTCTGGCAGGCACAGGGACATGGTGACTTCAATGCAGTGTCTACCAGCCAGCCTGTTTTCAGGTATGCACCTGGTTTGCTAGCCAAGACTGAAAACCATGATATCATACCTTCCTAGCAGTTCTTATCTGAGCTAGATAGATCGCAGCCAGTTT